AATGGTTATATCATAGTGTGTCTATCTAATTACTCATTATTAGGCATTTAGATTAGTTTTATTTGCTAACTGAAATAAATCAAGAAGCTCTATCTATCTATATCTTTTTATATACCACTTGTTTTAATGACAATTATTTAGAATAATTTCTTTTGCTAAAGTTCTTTGTTGAAACTTATTTATCAGCAAATTGTGAATTCCTAATTATTAGAACTGTCAACAATACAAATGACCATTTAAGACATTTTTCATTTTTGTTTGAATGATGCTTCCCCCCACCAGTACTATGGTTTAAACAGCCTCTCTCAGTCTGCTTTTTCATGCTCTAGTATTTGAGCCACACCTCAAGTTGGAACTTTTTGCTAGTTATTTGGGGTCTTATGACTCATGACTTGGCTTTGAACCAAAATTCTCAGATCTAAGCCTCCTGAGTGTCTAAGATTACAGGCATAAACCACTAGTACCTTTGCAAAATTGTTTCATGTTTCAAAACTTATATTTGTGTACATAACAAGCCCCATTTAATTTTCTTCATATGTTGCTCCCTTTTGTTTTTTTTAAATTTTTTTCCTGGTAGGTTCAATGTAAGTACATTAGAAAGATTTGAATTTATTTCCTGTTTGTATGTTCTTTTTATGAGAACATGTTTTGTTATTGAGTCGGCTTTATCCAACTTTATCCTTTTATGCTTATGAAACTATGTATCAAATAAACAGTATCTTTTTTTGTTGCTATAAAATGTCCCTCTGAGTTATTTGTTTCTCAGCAATATTCATTGTCTTAAAATACTTTATTATATCTTATACTAGTATAGTCATTTCAGCTATTTTATGGCTACATTTCTGTGGCATATCATCTTTCATTTGTACTTTCAATCTATTTGTATCTTTGAGTCTAAAGTTTATTCATATAGACAAAGTGTAGTTGGATTATGTCTTTTAAGTTCTGTTGGTGAATATTCACCTTTTAATTGGCATGTATATATAGTTCATTCACCCCTGATGTAATGACTGGTATGGTTGGATTTTGCTAGTTTTTCATTTGTTATTGTTTCTGTCCCACTTTTACTGCTTTCTTTTTTGTTAAAGTATTTATAGTATACTATTTTAGTTTTTCTGTTGATTTTTTTTGTTATATCTTTAGGTTTATTTTTTTTGAGGTTGCTCTGTGTGTTATAAAATGCATCTTATCACATTTTTTAGGTTTTTTAAATAAAAAAATCGGTGTGTTTGGTAATAGTTTTGTTTCAACATAGTTTGCTTTTTTCTTTTTTGCCACTATTGTCATATATATGATAAACTCAATAATATAGGATTATCATTGCTTTCAATTTTTCATTTTTAAAAGATAAGTAGCAACACTTTTAAAATATTTTATGTTTAGCACATCTATATATCTATATCTATACATCTATCTATCTTATCTGTCTTCTGTCTATCTATCCATCTTTCTTATGCTTTTCACTTTTTTTCCTCCTGTGAATTTTCTGCCTGATATAATTTCCTTTCAGGTTTCCTTTGGTCTTTCTTTCTTTAAAAAAAAAATATTGTAAAGGTGATGTCCAGAGGGGTTACAGGTATTGATTACATTTCTTTTTTTTTTGAATTTATTTATTTTTTATTGTGAAAATACTGTACAGAGGGGTTACAATTACATGGGTAAGATAATGAGTACATTTCTTTTCAAGCATTGTAGCCTCCTCCTTTGTTTCCCCTTCCCATCTCTTCTCATCTTCCCCCCCCACCAAAGTTGTAAAGTTCGTTTTTGACAAAACGACTTGTACATCTCATTGTTGCAATGGGTCCATCTGTATCCCTATTTAAATGATTTGTTTTTCCCCTTCCCCTCCACAAATTATTCTGACATCAAATACAATGAAAGCAGGGGTTATACTGTGGGAGAGGGACATACAAAGCAACAAATGTGTTAGAAACAAGTGCATGAAAGAAAAAAAACATTTGAATACATATCTTAGGGTTCATTTCCCTAACATCACCTTATCTGACCTTTTCTGCTTGACTCAGACATAAACTAGATATTGCAAATAAGGGAAACCATGGGACCTATGTTTCTTTGGGCCTGGCTTACTTCATTTCTTTTTGAATAATGTCACTCTTTTGGTGTTTCCTAAAGGCAGATATGTGAGCTAAGGAGTTTTCTGTTTTTGTTATCTCAGTATATTTTTTCTTTTATTTTTAAAGAATAATCATCAGGGGGGCTGGGAAGGTGGCTCAGTGGTAGAGCGCTTGCCTTGCATGCCTGAGGCCCTGGGTTCGATTCCTCAGCACCACATAAGCAAAAAGAAAAAAGCCGGAAGTGGCGCTGTGGCTCAAGTGGTAGAGTGCTACTTGAGCTGAAGAGCTGAGGGAAGCGCCCTGGCCCAGAGTTCAGGCCCCACGACTGGACCCCCTCCAAAAAAAAAAAAAAAAAAGAATAATCATCAGGCTGGACTGCTGGTAGCTCATACTTGTAATCCTAGTTACTCAGAAGGTTGTGATCTAAGGATTGTGATTCAAAACCAACCCAGGGAGGAAAGTTTGTACGACTCTTTTATCTCCAATTAACTACCAGGAAACCAGAAGTGGCCCTGTGGCTCAAAGTGATAGAGCAGTAGCTTTGAGCAAAAAAGTTTAAGGACAATACCCAAGCCCTGAGTTTAAGCCCCAAAAGTGACCAAGGGTGGGGGAGGGGAGAATAATTACCAACTAACAGCCAGATTTTGGGCTAAAACATACAAGTCAGTAAGCTTTCTTCTCTTTTGCCAGTGGATTTGTACATGGGTTTGTACAAGTTTGTTGATTTCTTTTCTCCTCTTTCTTATCTTATTCTCTTTCCTCCCCTTTCTCTCCTTCTTCCTTGGCTCTTCTCTCTATCCTTCCTCTCCCTTCATCTTCCTCTCCCTCTCTTTTCTCCTTTGTCTCCTTCCTTCTCCTTTCTCCTTCTCCTTCCCATTCTCTTCCCTCTCTCTTTCTTTCTCCCTTCCCTTCTCTCTTCTCCCCTCTCTCCTTCCTTCCCTCCTCTTCCTCTCTGTCCCCCTCCCATCTTCATCTCCCTCCAGTCTCCCTGCGCTCCTCGGTGCCCCTCTCCTCTGTCCCCTCCCCTCTCCCTTTTCTCTCCTCTGTCTCCCTCCCTTCATTTCTTCTCTCCTTTCCCCCTTTCCTCTTTGTCACTATGTAGTCTAGGCTAACCTCAGACTTACTCTGTATCCTAGATTGACATTGAACTCAGGTTTGCCTGACTTGGCCTGAATGATGGGTTTATAGCCATTGTGCTGGTTGAACTTTTACTTTATGCCAGATTTTGTTAACCCTCCTCTCTATAGTGAAGGGCAATTGGAGGTGTCCTCACATGTGTGCACAGTCTCTTAGGTACGGATGTCCAGAGAATTTAACAAATATTTCTGTATCTTTCTTGTTTTTATGAACTTCCTTGCTAAATTTCTGTTTGGTTCTTTACTCTTTCTTTGTCCCAATACTTTTCACATTTTTTCATGTTTACTTATTTATTTTTTGGGTTGGTTGTGGGTTTGAACTCTGGGCTTAGGTGCTATCCCTTTGCTCTTTAGCTCAAGGCGAGCGCTCTACTGCTTGAGCCACAGCGCCACTTCTGGTTCTCTAGTGGTTTATTGGAGATAAGAGTCTTATGGACTTTCCTGCCTGGACTGGCTTTGAACTGTGATTCTCAGATCTCAGCCTCCTGAGTAGCTAGGATTACAGGCATGAGCCTGCACCTGGCTTTCATGTTTATTTTTTAAAATGAATTTTGCTATTTTTACTATCAGTGCTATTGATATGTGTCTCCCCCACCCCTCGTTTTCCAAATCATCATTCTGAGTTACTAAGACTGTTATTTTTCTTGATTAGCTATTAGGAACAAGAGAATTCTTAGAGAGAAGTGGTGGTGGGAGAATGGTGGCAGTACCCCTAGAGTTGAGTGGGTTTTCATGGACAAACATTTCTTGACTTATTCTCCTTTGGTCAGTTTTCAGAATCTTGGAAATGGTTGTTTGGGATAGGGTTTTGCTTTAGGTTTTTTTTCCCCCTTGGGAGGGTGGTTTAAGGAAACTGGGTCTTGAGGTTATTAGGATAAAGGAAGGTCAGGATGTGGACTCAACAGACCAACAGGCTTTATTTGGGAAATAAGCCTTCAACCCCCTTAAAACTTGGAGTCTCTAAATATTAGATGGAAAAAGTGAAGCTGGGGAGTGGGTCGATGAAAGTGGGATGAGATGGAGGTGAGATTGGTGACTAAGGAGTCTCTGTGTTGATCAGGAATGTCAGCATCAGATGTGGCCTTGGTTTCAGGCTCTCTTCCAAGACTACTGGCACACTTGTTCAGGGGGAAGGGGAGGAGAGAGACAATTCAGCAGCAATTCTAAGTTATGTCTGTCCAGGGGGAAGTAGGTGCTTTAGGTTAAATCATTTTCCATATTTTCCAGGCTCTTCCTTCTGCCATATTTCATTTTATAGTAAGAAAAATTTTTAATTTTTTAATACATTTTTATTGTGAAAATACCATACAGAGGGGTTATAATTACATGAGCAAGGTAATAAGTACATTTCTTATCAAGCATTGTTGCCTCCTCCTTTGTTTTTCCCCTACCATCCCTGCCCTCCCATCTCTACGAGTACACTCCCCCCTCCCCCACCAAAGTTGTAAAGTTCATTTTTCAACATAGCATCTTGTACGTCTCTAGTAAGAATTTTTTGACATTTAGATTATTTGTTTACATTCATTATATAACTAATTTTGTTGTTACATATTCTGGACTTTTTGCATTCTTGGGATAAAATCTTTTAAAATTTTGATTCATAAGTGGTAGTTTTTAAAGTGTATGTTGATTTTTAATAACTTGAGGCTCTTCCATTGATGTTTTTATGAAAACTCAGTACTAGATTTGTCTTTATAGTGAAAAATCAGGCTGAAAGTTTTTCTGAGTCACATATCTGTGATACTGCAAATTAGTAAGTTCAGCTAATGGTGATCAATTCCTTCTGTAGACATTATCCTGCACTGAAAACTCTGGAACACCTAGAGCATACCTATCTGCCTCAAGTAAGCCACTATCGATTCTGCAAAGTGATGCTGGACAATATCCCCAAGCTACGAGAAGAAATAAAGGATGTTTCTATGTCTGATCTCAAAGATTTCCTGGAGAGCATCCGCAAGCATTCAGACAAAATTGGAGAGACTGCAATGAAGCAAGTAGGTCTTGGGTTTACGATAGGTTGTTCAGTGGCTTTGCAAATATTCAGTTAAATATAGACATCTCTTTGCTAAGTGTCTTAAATGTTTCTTATCATTTAAGGGAAGTTCTTCATGATTAAATTTTTTTATATTAATAGAGCAATGGACTACTATCGACTAGTATATTGTTTTGCTCTGTAAATGTTCCATAAATACTGCCTGGTTGTGATGATTTATATTGGAGGTTGAAGGAAATTTAATGCAAAAAAAATTTCACTTGACTTAGAAATATTTATCTATGATTTTGAAGCTTGTCTTTTAATGTTCTGATTCTAGTTACTGACTTAAATTATGTTGCATGTGCCTTTGCATGATTATTTACTATGTAAGTATGCTGTCTTATTTATACATGAATATTTCTGATAATAACTTTTTGTCAATGACAAAAAGTCACTTGAGACATGCTGTGATTATTATCACAGATAGGGACTTATTTATAATTTATACATTAACAAATGTGTTAAAAATATTTAGGTTTGTTTTCCTTTAAATATCATCTTGTCTAAGTAACTAAAGCCACAAAGAATGTTTGGCTTTCTTTTTCATCATGAATAAAAGACCAATAATGATTTGGAATAGTACTTTCTCTTTTAAAATTTAAGTCATATTGGTTTTATTAAAACTTTTCAAGGTGACTGATGATGTAGCCTACAACAATAAATAGGTGATTTAGCTTATGAAGAGTCGTTTTAGTTTTTATAAACACCAAAGTTCTTGAATAGGTGATTTGTAGTTCTTACCATTCTATGAGGAATGAGGCAATAAACTGTATTTGGAGTCATGTTTTAGTTTTCAACTAGCCTAGATAATTATAGTTCACATATCTGATCCTACGAAAGAGATTTGCCAAATACCGGTTTCTAATGCAATGGAGATATTTTCCCTCTTTTAAAGTGTTAAGTTTAAAAGTAGTTGATGAAAACATGACAGAAATTATCATAGCACATTTTTTTTACAGTGCAAAAACAAAAGTGGTTGGAGGTATGGCTCAGTTGGTGGAACACTAATCTTATGAGCTAATCAGGGAGGGAAAGTTTCAGGTACTGAGTTCAAGTCCTGGTCTTGGGCCTAAAAAACAAGTAATGAGAGTATAGTGGAATACATAGTATTTTTTGAGCTGGTAATGTACTTCACTGATAGATCACTTGCCTTACACACATGAGGTGTCCTGTGTTTGAACCCAACATTAATGTGTATATATGTAGTCTAGGAGACTCTTATCTCAAAAACAAAGAGTGGGGTGTAGCGCAAATGGTAGAGTCAATGTCTGCAAATGTGAGGTCCTAGTTTCAATCCCCAGTACTGCCACCTCCTTCCCAAATATACACACATGATACATACATATGTATTAGACAGACATATACACATATACCTTTGCATTGCTGTATATAGGCAGAAAGATACATTGCAAGACAAACCTTTACTATTGTGAGTAATTTCTGCTTTTTTATTTTAGGTATCAATTTTGGGAACACAGGGCCTTGTTCCTGAGCTTTTTTTGCTTGAGGCTAGCATTCAACCACTTGAGCTCCACTTTAGGCTTTTTGGTAGTTAATTGGAGATAAGAGTCTCAATGACTTTCTTGCTCAGGCTGAGTTTATGTCCCAGTATTAACATGTACGACGGACACACATATACATGTATGTTTCATATATTTAATCTTCTGTAGTATCTGGAAAGTAAGGGTAATATGAGACTACTGCATATTTTGTGCATAGCAGATGTTTGTGTGCTTTTTAAAATTCATAGATGTTTAAGGAGTGGTGATGCTTTATTTTTCATTTGTATAGAACCTCAAATGATGTTTCTGATTTGTGGGCTTTTTCCCCCCCACAATGGTAATTTAGGGACTTAGACTTTTTCCTTTGTGTTGCTGTGCTATCTTTAGTGTATCTTCCAAGGAAATACCACTGAAGATGGGCGCCAGCTTCAGTTACTGGCTCATGCCAGTAATCCTGGCTACTCAGGAGGCTGAGATCTGAGGTTTGTGGTTCAAAGCCAGACTGGGCAGGAAAGTCTATGAAACTCTTATCTCTAATAAACTACCAGAAAACTGGAAGTGGCGCCTTGGCTCAAAGTGGTAGAGCACTAGCCTTGAGTGAATAAGCTCAGGATCACTGCCTTGGCCCTGAGGTGAAGCCCCACAACCAACCAAAGACAAGACAAAACAAAATAAAACAAAGAAAAAATACACTTGAAGGGGAAAGACCAAAGAGTATTGCATATGAGGTTTTTTTTTTTTTTTTTTTTAGGGGCAGGTATGGAGACTACACATATTACTTGCATTCACATTTTATTGGTCAAAACTCAGTTACATAACCTCATCTACCTACAAGTACAACTAGAAAATGTAGTGTTACATTGTCCCAAAAATGAGAATGTAAGTTTGGTGAATAGTAGCTAGTAGTCATTAACTTTATCTTCCCAATCCATTCAAACATAAAACACACTTCCCTCTTTTCTAAGGAAGGAAACCCAGAAGCTCATCTTGTTAGGACATCCATTATAAAGAGTAGTATCTTCAGGGATACTCACCTCTGTGCATCAGATTCTGTGTGGCTATCCATGGGCTGCTGACCACTCAACTAAAATTATCTGCACTGGTGTCAGCATGGCTGAAGGGGAAATGGCACACCCCCCCTTACAACTAGTACTCTTTAAATATTAGATGGAAAAAGTGAAGTTGGGGAGTGGGCAGATTGAAGTGGGATGAGATGGAGGTGAGGTTGGTGGGTGGTCAGGGGTGTCAGCATCAGATGTAGCCTTGGTTTTAGGCCCCATACTTGTACCAAACCAAGTAGAGCGAGTTCACATGTAGATGGATCAAGAGGAAATTACAACAATGAGGACAACTAGTGCTGATAGTCTGCCTTCACATAATTAGTGGAGCTAAAGGCCTTGTGATTATTTCATTGGGAGATTTAGCTTTCTCTTAATTTAAAAATAAACATGACCCACATTATGAAGTTTTTCCTGAGTTGTTTGTACACTAACTCAACTTCACTATAATATTCCTGGGGTTTTTTCTTCCCTCAAGTATCTTGAATAAATATATCACACTGATAGTAGAAATGAGATTCCATTCACTAAATTTACTTTTGTCTTTGACCTTGAAACTAATAGTGTATGGTATGAAATTGAAGTAAATTTGTCTTTACATGAATTAAATGCTCCTATATATGTTTTTTATTATATAGTCTAAACTTTAAAATATTTAAGAATATGAAAGTGGTTATTCAAAATGTTGCCTTAAACATAATATATAAACAGTCTAAATGCTTATATAGTATATACCGGGGGCCAAGAATGACCACAGATCATTATCAGATATAGTAGATTTGGTCATGCACAATGGATCTGCCTTTTTAAAAGATGTATGGGAAAAATGTATTTTTTTATATTATCATTGGAATAAACTTATGTTTCTTTAGTAGTTTCCTCTTATTACATGTCTAAAAAAGTTAGTTTTCTTATATTTGTCTATATAGTTACTATCTTCCTTTGTTTGGGTATGAGTGGTATTTTCTCAAGTCAAACATTATAGCTGCATGATAGAAATACTAAATAGATTTTACTTCACTTTTACTTCTCATTTCTTTGCATGGTTAGTTTTTTTTAAATTTCCTTTTGCTCTTTCTGTTGCTTCTTTTGGTTTTTCCTTCTGTATTTTTTTTTCTGTTCTCTTTCCTCTTCCTTTTTTCTCTTCTAGAAATCCTACTTTATAAGATGTGAGTTTTCAGTTTCTTTCTGAGTGTGCTTTCATGTTGCCTACTCCAATTGGGAATATTTATTTTTTAAGCCCACCATAATATAAGTTTTAAAGGTACAATAAAATTTGTATCTATTTATATGTATGTATGTGCATAGATACATAGGAACATACATATACATATTCAAAAGTATGGAGGGCATTGGGTGATGATCATACAAATGTGAAAATGACTGACATGAATAAATCTATTATTTACTGTAACTATTATATGCTAATTAAATGAAAAAGATATAATTTTTGGAGTCAAGAAAGCAACAGCAAGATTTGGAACTCCAACCAATGGACTGGGCAAACTAATACAGACTTTATTTTCCTGCTTTGTTATTAATGTTAATAAAATACAGTAATAAATATGACATTTTAAACTTTTTGTTTTGAGACATGTGTTATTTTCAGTGTTTATTTTGGGGTCTTGATAGTTTGGTATCAACTATTTGCCCTTTTATTATCTCATTAGGGAATGTATTAAGCAAACTGATTTAGGAAAGTATTTTGGAAGGGAAGTTTTTTTGTTTTAAAATTATTTTTGTTTTATTTAAATTCCAAAAGATCTTTATTATTATTTTCAGGTTTTAGTGTTAAGATTGTAATTTAAAGCAAGACAAAAACAACAATAAAAACAAATTACGTTTTCAGTGAAGTCTTTAAATGACAATGAGAAAACAGTGCTAGGTCTCTTTGAATAGGTAATTGAGACCATAGAAAGTAAGACTTACGTTGATTGCTTTTGTTGCTGGGGATTTGATTTTGGGCTTTCAGCTGTTGTACAGTATCCTGATGTAGAGATGATATCTGATGTTTCATTTCACTTCTGATGTCTGTTTCATGTTTACTAGGTTGAAGTATGTACCAAGTTTCTCATCTTATGGTATGCTATACATCTTGGTATAAAGAATTCATTTTATTGGTAGGCTGTAGTTTCTTTCAGTACCCCTAGATCTCTGCCACGTGTTTGAATATTATGAAACTCAGCTTGAGGCTTGGAGCTACAGTGTTCCTCAGAGCCCCATGGTGTGCTTCTGACCTGGGTGATAACTCTTAATGGCCCTGAAGAAACCCAATTGAGAATTCCAAGGACTGTTCTGCTCTCAGCACGTGCTATAATCTTGTCCTCTGCCAGATGTTTTCTTTGCTGAGCTTGAAAGCACCATCAAAATAATGCTAAGGGAACTGATATGTGAGGAAA